AAACATTCATCCCCTGCACCAGAGATCTGTTCATATCTTTTACGTCAATGAGACATATTATCTTCATGCACAGACCAATTATGGCTCCAACCGTGAATCTTTTATATATATATATATATATATATATATATATATATATATACACTGGCATGAATAACAGCTTTTTATACCATAAAAATGATCCAGTATGTGGTGAAAAAAATGCCAGTTGAAGTACTACTGCAGAATAGTTGGTTATACTTCCTGTAGATAATAATGAATGGATCATCTTAACTACCTCAGAATTTGCCTATAAGGATGCAGAGCACTCCTCCACCCAGAACACCCCTTTTTACCAATAATTACTATGTAGTAACAGCAGCATCTTAGGTGTACATCAGTATCTAGTCGCTGCACAAAGTGATTTCCAGGTCACCTTCTAGCAGGTCACGCTGAGACATAAAGAGTACACCAAACTTCAAAACAGAGCATCTTAGTGGGAGATATTAGTAGGTCTTTTCTAGATACTTTCACTATGTACCACCTATCCATACCAGAAGCAACACTCCTCGAGATGATGGAAAGCCTTTAAGTTTTCTGCATCTAGTGGCTTTGCCTTACTCTTGTGTCATGAGACATCTACTTGCCCATCACCATTTCTATGATCAGCCCACAAAGGCTCCTCTCTTCCTCAGAACCTCAGCAAACCCCCAACCAACCACAAGAGAAATCTTGTGTTTGTCAAGGGAAATTTACTATATTCCAAGTGACATTAAGATCAGAAGTATTCACAGGAGTTCCTGGGTGGCTCAGTCAGTTGAGCGTCTGACTTCAGCTCAGGTCATGATCCATGGTTCATGGGTTCGAGCCCCGCGTTGGGCTCTGTGCTGACAGCTCAGAGTCTGGAGCCTATTTCTGATTCTATGTCTCCCTCTCTCTTCCCCTCCCCTACTTGCATGCTGTTTTTCTCTCTCTCAAAAATTAATAAACATTTAAAAAAATTTTTTTAAAAAGATCAGAGGTATTCACTGACCTACCAGAAGAATTATGGGCTAAAAGAGCAATTGCGGGAATCCATTTTTTACCACCAAATAAAAGGAAGTTACATTAACCTGTGTTGAAGGCAAACCCAAGGCAACTATCTTTATACAACCTGAATTACAGTTTACATTCTACATTTCATTTACCTTTTTTGTGCTTTTAACACAGTCTTATAGGTATCTATTTTAATAGCTTCTTAAATCATTGATATGATATACCATAATTGACTTAAAAATTCCCTCACTGTAATGGAAGCTTTTTTCTAATTTTTGTCTGTTATAGATAGTGCTTCAGTAAACATCTTTAGACATAAAGGATTTCTTCTTTTAAATTGTATCTTAGTTATAAAATAAGTCCTGTGGATATAATGTACAACATGGTGATAATAGTTAAAAATAACTATATTGTAAAAAAAAATACTATATTATATATTTGGACATTACTAAAAGAGTAGTAAAAGTTCTCACAACAACAAAAACTGGTAACTATATGAGGTGATGAATGTGTTAACTAACTTTATTATAGTAATCATTTTGAGATATATTCATATACTAAATCACTATGTTTTATACTTGGAACTTATACAATGTTATATATCAATTTTATCTCAAAAAATTATTTGTTTAGGATTATCTCAGCAGCATGAACCTCTTAGTTAAAGCATATAAATATTTTAACTTTTTTATGGAATTGCTCAATGCATAGCTCAAAGGGCCATACCAAGCCATCATTCATAGTCCTTGATGGTCCTTCTACCTCAGGCTTATCCTAAAAAATGTTCCTCTAATACAACGTGGTTGGAAGTATAAATTAGGACCACTGTTTGTGGTGTTTTTGAAAAGTTAAAATGTACAATGCCCTTGGACCTTGACATTCCACTTCAAAGAACTGGTTCTTTGAAATAATGGCATATTTACCCAAAGAAAAATGAACAAGCATGTTCACTGCAGCATTGTCTGTGCTAGAAAGAAACAGACATTAATGTAATTAATTGCACCTGTATCTATATTTGCAGTGTATAGGAAAAAGTCAAGAGGATATTACTAGTAGAGTTGACCTACAGAGAGAGAAATTGGGGAAGAAGGGGTGATGGGACAGTGATGAAGGAAAAATTATACATTTCACTCTACAGGTTTGTGTGTGTTTGGACTGTTTACTGTGACCATATATTCATCTAATACTTCTAAAATTAAATTAATTTTTAAAGTAAAAGAAAATACTTGAAATAAGACAAACTTTGTAACACTTGATTGATAAAAACCTATTATTTCCTACCTCTCTTTCTCCTTTTATTTTGTATCAATCTAAATAACACTGAACACTAGCAATACATTCCATTGCTGATTCTATCAATGTCCATTGTCTTCTAAACTAGTGAACCAGAATAAAAAGCAGGTGGAGAATCGGAGCTGAGAAAGGAGAATAGATGATTGGAAATGTAAAAAAGTTAAGAAGAAAGAGATTGAAGAACCACATATTTTTAAATAATCTGTATTCCAAACCACAAAGCGTAATAAAAATGCACTTTTGTGCATGTTACCTTTCATACTAGCTGTAACTTTTACAGTGAAACAAACAGCTTGCTGCATCAAGAAAATGCTGGGTGTTTATTTAAACCTGCAGGTCTCAGAGTGAACCACTCTCCAGACCATCTGGACCACAATCGCCTGTGGTACTGACTGAATATCAAATCAAGGTCTTTAGGTATAACTCCAGATCTGAAGCTAGAGGGTGGAAATCCTCAGCTTCAGTGCTGACACATGAATCCCAAAGCTGAAAATACATATTCTTTTTTTTTTTTTTTAATATTTTTATTTTATTTCTAAGAGAGAGAGAGACAGCGTGAGCAGGGGAGGGTCAGAGAGAGAGGGAGTCACAGACTGAAACAGGCTCCAGGCTCTGAGCTGGCCGTCAGCACAGAGCCCGACGCGGGGCTCGAACCCACGAACAGCGAGATCATGACCTAAGCGAAAGTCGGACGCTTAACCGACTAAGCCACTCAGGCGCCCCTGAAAATATATATTCTTAAGCATTCAAGAACACTGGGCATCACAGCAGTACATAGCAACAGAGTCATTCCATTCTTTGAAAGAAAAAAATTCTCATTTGGCTTCCTGAAAGACTGTAAAGTCATAATTTATTTTCTAGAGAGTATGCTTTCTAATCTAAACAAAATATAATCTGATTTAGATTTTATACACCATTCAGGCAGGGACTGTTTCTGTTTTGATCATAACTCTGAGCCTAGCACCCAATATCTGGCACATATCAGGCATTCAGTTAATATTTGCTGAATTAATAGGATTTGGACCATGGGGCTCCTCACATGAATACAGACATTAATTTGGATGAATGGGACGTAGTCAGTGGGAGCAAAGAATATGATCCTGGGAAAGAGATAAGATGGATTCCACACAGGGCTCTGCAAATGGAGGAAAAGGATCTCATTTCAGCCACTTAACATTTGTTAATTCTCATATTCCTTTTCTACAAAATAAGGGAGCAGATTTGGGGAAATTAACTGCCAAGGAATCATTTAAATTTAGCTCAAAATGTTGAAATTGAAATTCTAGAGTAGTTGAAACACTCCTTTGATAAATGTCCTTGTGTGCTCTCATGTAAAAGCTAAAACTGTAGAGACAAAGAAACGGTTTGAAATGATGGCTATTACCTTCACCACTGATTTGTCATTCTGTGATTAAGTCTGAAATCACTGGGAAGAAGACAATCCATTTGAAAGCAAAACAAGAACGATAATGAGTAAAAACAGTAAACTGTCAGTCTGCAAGTTTCAACAGTTGTTACCCCAAATTTCAACATCTGTTACTTATATAGATTGTTTTTACCTAAATATTTAGGAATGGTCCGTGAAATAGTTACTGTTGAATGTGGGGCACAGTTATCAAAATAAAAAAAAACACGCAAGATACCTTCGGGTGAAGGTATTCACAATAGTCTGTAGAAAACTCACAACCACAGGATGGTCAATCACCCAGAGGTTCTAAAAGATCAAAAAGACTTTCTGAGCACAAAGACATTAAATACAACATGGTCCAAATTTAGAAAAGAGATCTACTTACTAATAAACATGACCTTCATTTATAGAGCTGCAAATCAGTCAAATTGCAGCAAAGGGTCATGGAGAGCAGGAACGAATATTAATCTGCATGCCCATCTCCAGAACTCTGGTAAATTAGAGCAGGTCAGATGTCTAAATATGCATGAGAAGCTCCCTAGGCTGAAATGGAAAAAACAATGAAGGGTGCCCTTAGGATTCCAGGAGATACGCTCATGAAACCAGAAGAAAACCAAACGTTACTCCCACCTCTGGGAAGGTAGACAGTCACCCTAAGATGTGGGACATCAAGAGACAGATCCCTCAGCTCGTGTCAGGGAGAAGTACTTTAAGTAACGGGGGGATGGGAGCCCTTCAGGTACCCCCTTGCCCAGTCTGTGGAACGCCAGTTCCAAGCCCTCAATGGAAACAACTGCTGACGCACAAGGTCGTCTACTAGAACCCTTGAAAGAGATGCGTAAAGAGCATAGAAAAGCTTGTCCCACCTTGAAGAACCCAGTTCCAGTGAGCAGCACCAGGGTACACAGGCCAGAGGAAGAAGCTTTGAGGGCAGCAGGCTGCGAACAACCATAAGCAAAGAAAGCAGTAAAATGGGACCCTGGCCCTGCCTCAACGCCCTTCAAGGGAGGAAGCAGATGTGGCAACAGACGAAGCAGGAAACGCAGCTCAGAGGATGCAGCTAACAGCCACAGGGTCAAAGGGGGGCACAGGGGTAAGAGCCGGCACAGAGTCTCATGAGCCAACTCGGCATCCCCAGGAACTGGCAACAAACTCACTTGGGATCCCAGGACCAAGTCTAAGAAGGTGTCAAAAACCACTGCCAATGTCACGCATGCCCCAACCATGCTTATTAAGGCCGGTGTAGCTGGTGAGAACAAGGCTTATGATAAAAATGTGTACTCACCTTCTTCCGGAGCCACGGCGCTTTGGACAATTTCATAAAAGTCAAATGAGGCTTAAAACTCCTGTTTTCTCCTGCCAAGATGCCCTTTCCTTGAAATGTGCTTTTTGCAGCCTCTAAAGAAAATAAAAACCAAAAAAATGCTACTGTAACACATAGCTACCTTTTATTGTAAAAATAGCAGTTCAGAAAATAACAAATTACTTGATAGTGAAGATTAAATGCCTGTAGGAGATATTATTTTTTGAGAGGAAAAACCACAATGTGTAGAACAAGCATATTATTAAATCTGCAGAGATTTCAAATTTTAAGTAAAGCACACAAAAGCAACAATTTGAAAAGGAAACATTTAATTAAAAAAAAACATAACCATTTGTCTGATATGTTGATTTTCACTGAATATCCCCGGGGTGTCCATACTCATAAAGAAGGAACAGCTTATCTGTACCATATAATATCTAAAAACAAGATGGAACAAAAGAAATCAGATTGACCCTCCCATCTGAAACAATAAAAAGACAGAGTACATAAAACAATGACTTGCAAGACACTGTATGTATTAGGCAAAAAACATCAGTGATCCCTTAGAGATGAAAAACAAACAAGGTAAGCCTCTTAGGGTTAGGGTTAGGGGGTAAGGGTTAGGGTTTGGGGTTAGAGTTAGAAATGGGGTTAGGGTTAGGGTTAGAAACAGTGTTAGGGGTTAGGGTTACGGTTAGGGTTCAGGGTTAGGATTAGAAGTAGGGTTAAGGGTTAGCATCAAGATTTGGGTAAAAGTAAGAACGGGTTTAGAGAGCTAGCCAGGAGCATTATGGACATGGTAAAATCTTCAGATTTTATTCTAAGTATGATGGGAAATCCTGGGGGGTTTAAGCAAGGGAAATTTATTTGTAGGAGTAACTGTCTTTATTCATCTATATTTCAACTAGAATGTACATTTCTTCCTTGTGGAAGAAATTTAATCCCAGACAATCTCAAGAGCTCCCCTCTTTTCCTAGGGCTGTATTTTCGTTGAATAGAAGGTAGCTAATGGGGTGTGAGAGTAGGGATGTAGCATCTGGCTCTTGGGTCATCACCTGACCACTCCTGAGACATGCACCATGCTTGGTTTTTGTAGTGGGTTCCTCCCTCGTTCCCCTCTATAATGACTGTGATTTCTGTGCCATCTCAGGTTTCCAAGATTTCATTCTATGGGTCACCATCCCATGGCAAGCAGTAACTCACTGGACTTGTCTGAGCCCCTGTCCCACTTTCTTGCTATTCTTGAGCACACAAAATAGCATAATTACCCGGGACCAAGGTGGAAAGGGTCAGAACCCTATAAGGCCACCCATCACACAATTCCACCCTCACTTCACCTCTACCACCCCTCTAGAAGCACAGGAGATTCTGGCTTGCTACCTCTAAGGGCACACCTCAGGAGCAAAGTGCAGGGTCATTCCTGTTCTCGGACTCATGAGAGTTTCTGCTCTTCTATGCAGGGGATGATGGAGGGGCAAGGACTCATACATCACCTTGGCCTCTAGCTCTCTTCGTTGCCTGACCCTGGGAATCTTTTCTAGCATCAGTGTAGGAAAAACTTACCAATATGCTTAGGTTGACTTCCCAAAGCCTTTTTTCGATTTTTCTTGCTATATCCTCTCTCTTCTGAGAACATGGGTGCCACTGCCCAGGGAAGGGAGGTGGGAGGCGAATAGGTACAGAGCAAGGCATATAAGAAACACAAGGAGAGGGACGCCTGCGTGGCTCAGTCGGTTAAGCCATGATCTCACCATTCGTGAGTTCGAGCCTCATATTGGGCTCTGTGCTGACAGCTCAGAGCCTGGGGTCTGCTTTGGATTCTGTCTCTCCCTCTCTCTCTGCCCCTTCCCTGCTCAGGTTCTGTCTCGCTCTCTCTTAAAAATAAACATTAAAAAACATTTTAAGAAATACAAGGAGATATCTCAAAATATTATCCCATCACAGTTTCAAAATCGCAGTTTGTTATTTTATTTTCATAATATCTACTCAATGTCAATATGTGCTAAATGTGACATTTTGATTGCAATTTATAAATTTGGGCATGTCCTGAAACTCTTTGCTGCTAGTCCTAACAGCAATTGATTTTTCCTTTCTCTTCTATCATAATAAAGGTTAAGCAATGGACCGTTAAAGTGCCAAACAAAACAAAACAAAACAAAACAAAACAAAACAAAACACACTGTTCTTAGCTACAAGCAACAAATTGTCACTGTGGCTAAGTAAAGCAGGAAAGAAACTTCTGTAAGAACACTGTGAGAACTAGAAGACCGGGCTGGAAGGCTATGAAGCCAAAAGGATGTCCAACGGCATGGTGGAGACGAGGGCAGTGACACACCCCTGCTCCAGCAGGCGTCGCTGGTGCACACAAGGGGCTAGAACTGCTATGGCTGCCTCAGATTGGCGGGGACCACCCGGGATGAAACAGCCTTTCCCCAGAACAGATCCTTCACTGTTCAAGTTGCTAGTTTCTGATACAAAGTCTCTGCCAAAGCAAGATCATGTTCCTAGCAACAAAGGAATCTGTGGAAAGAAGTGTGTGACATGGAAGAGGGTGGGGGAAGAGTTTAGAAGCTGGGCAGCTAAAGAAGAAATAAAACAGTCTAGCATACCCGTGTTTTTAAAACATAAGATTGGGGGTGTCTGGATGGCTCAGTTGGTAAAGTGTCAGAATTTGGGGCAGGTCTACTAGAACTGATCCAAGAATTCAGCCAAGTTACAGGGTACAGAATCAACGTACAGAAATCAGTTGCATTTTTATACACCAACAATGAAGCAACAGAAAGAGAAATCAAGAAACTGATCCCGTTCACAATTGCACAAAAAAACATAAAATACCTCGGAATAAACCTAACCAAGGATACAAGAGATCTGTATGATGAAAACTATAGAAAACTTATGAAGGAAATTGAAGAAGACATAAAGAAATGGAAAAACATTCCATGCTCATGGATAGGAAGAATAAATATTGTTAAAATGTCATTACTACCCAAAGCTATCTACACATTCAATGCAATTCCAATCAAAATTGCACCAGCATACTTCTCAAAACTAGAACAAACTATCCTAAAATTTGTATGGAACCACAAAAGACCCCAAATAGCCAAAGTAATACTGAAAAATAAAACCAAAACGGGAGG